TACAATGCTGGTAATATTTGAAAATTATTGGGTTGGAATATCTTTTGTAGTGTAAATCCTTAATCGCACTCGCATTCATTCGATGAACTATACTAATTTGTTTCATTTATATCGCGCGTAACGCAAATTAAATGCCTTTGCCAACTGATCCACTCGCTGAAGCTTTATTTTGTTCTTGTTGTTATTGCTTTTCTGTTCCAAAGGTCACTTTATAACTGGTTTCTTTATTTTTGTTCATGCTTTCAGCCGAAATACTTAGAATGTGTTAAACTTTTGTTTCATTTCAGGTTCTCGTTGCAATTATACTTCTGCCAGTAAAGCGTTCCTGTTCTCGCTTTACAACGTCAGAGGAAATAAACCCGTCAAGCTGGCCCAGTATCAAAATCAACAATACGCAATGTATGACTGCTCCAGTCACGGACCCACTTTTGGCGCTGGTATTGGGTATTATGACATCTACATATCGAGCAACGCTTTGAGCAACGGAGGATCTTATGCAGCGTGCGGTGCAACATACTCTGTACCCTCAGGATATTCAGCTGGACAATGCGTTTTTTTCACTGGAGGCCATTTTTTCACTGCTACTGACATTGAAGTGTTTTACGAAATAGGTGATTAAAAACAGAACATGTTAACTCCCTTTTTAATACCGTAATGATTCGATTCGGCGCCCCAATTCCAAAAAGCGTCCTGCCCACCCTCTTTAATTGTCCTTTTCCAATACACGCTCCTATTCCAAAATGAGTCACCATTGCGAAAGTGACATGAAAGACATTGACATAGTAAACACTGATCGGACGAGTGAATAATGTAGTCTTCTTTCTCATCTGAACGTAATGTTGCCGAAGATATATTGAATTGGACTTATGCGAGCACCTCTTGTTACAGTTCTCAATGCAAGTCACGTTACCCGCTGTTGTTTATTTAAATGCCAAAATCCCATTCCAATATTTATGTCATAAAAAGAAATAAGCGCCCTCTCTTGAGCTCCCAACAGGCGACCCGGCCCTAAATCGAATTGTTATGGTATTTGCTTTATGTAAGTTGTATTGTTACACCTCCCAACTCAAATACGTTTTCTGATTGGAGGAGAACGTGTCACGTGTCATGAGTCAAAACTCACTGGCTCTGTAGGGCGAACAAGACTACTTACTCCGGCTACTCCTTAGGGAAACAACAACTTGAACTTTCGACTCGCACGTGAATCAGCTGCAGGTCGTGCACCTTGAAACCGCGGCAAATTCGTTTGTTAGCCGGCGTCAAGTAAATCAACTATTTTATTTAAAGATTGATTGATTGATTTATTTGCTTGTTTATTTATTTATTTTTAGTTTGGAGGTATAACAAAACACTTTAAGATGATTTCCAATCTCTCGAGAGTTTGTTTTTTTGTAAACATTTCGTAGTTATTTGCATGAAGTAAATTTTAAAGTTTCAAAACAACCGCCATTATGGATGCGAAGCGGTCGAAGCTTTATGCTTCGTTCTTTCTCATATCACATGATGAAACAACTTCGCAGCTGTAAAAATCAATGAAGCTGTTGTAAAAAGAAAAATTTTCCGTATAACCCCATACACTTATCATGCATGCAGAATGATTCCTTATGTATGCGCTCTATTGTTTTTGAAGGCAAGAGCAACTCCAAGAGAAAAAAAACAAAAACAAAAACAAAACAAAAAGAACAAAAACAAAACAAAAACAAACAAAACAAAACAAACAAACCTCAATTGAAAGGTTACGGCTTTTCGCAAATACGAGACCACACAACCGAGGTAAGGAAATGGTTTATTGCACTGGATTTTCTTCAATTTACAGAATCAAAATACTCGCTGACCTTAACAACATTTTATAGCTAAACGCAAGCCGCCTTTGCCTAGGCCTAAATCACTATTTTTAAAGTATTTTTAAACTGGCGCAGAGGCCTAATTCGCTGTTTTGTAAAGCAGTTTACGTTTGCGTTCAATCTAAAGGTTATTGAAAGCCAATAAGTCTCAAAGGAGTTCTATTGTTTCGGCTATTGTTTAGTTAAACAAAGAACTGTATACATGATTAATGTATGGGGTTATACGGAAATCTTGCCAAAAAGAATTTGAAAAGCCTCTAAGATAAGGTATGTGGCTCGTAACGAATAACATCGATTCGCATTCCATCGAGCGAGCCTTATAAATGTTCGTAAACATCAGGGTGCTGAGACTGCGCAGTACAGATTGGGAATCATCTTTAATAACTTGCCCCACGGGAGTGTTCTTCCCCTCGACCCTCAATGCTCCCCTCGGCTTGGCCTCGAAAAACATTGAGGGTCTCGGGGAAACAAAACTCACTGTTTCCCTTGGGGCCAATCATTACGTGCTCATTACTACGCCAAGCGATTGGCTTAAGAAACTCACGCCACTTTGTCATCCAATAAGAAGTTAAAGCAAAACCAATCGCGAATGATTGTCAAGCATTTTCTCGCGCTTTACTTCGAGTTTTGATTGGCTCAATGGATTTTTTGTGCCTTTTGGTTTTGCTTTTACAAAACTCAATAGCGTCGCACACAGTTTCTAAAAATAGATTTCATCACCAGAGACCCCCCACACGACTCAGACAAGAATTACAGTCCGGTAGAAGGTTTTGTATGGGCGCGATGTATTCTAAACCAGAAAATCAGGCAAAAAAGGAAGGATAGGTGGTCTAGGTTCTTGCTTAGCTTAAATAATATTAGAAAGCAGACACTGCTGCCGTAGGTAATGTTTATTATTATTATTATTATTATTATTATTATTATTATTATTATTATTATTATTATTATTATTCCAAGGTACATTTTGGGAGTTTTCTCTAACATTTTGAGTTAGAGGGGCCATCAGCGTGTGAAATTACTTTCTGAGTATTGCGCTGAAGTGCTCGTTGTTCCATACGTCGCTTTCATAGAAGTAGCGCAGAAATGGTTTGTTTGTCTGAGTCACACCGGGGGCTAAATGTTCGTGATGTCATTTGTGCGCGACGCTCAAAGTTCCTAATATTAGTTGGAGTTAGTCGTTCCGTTAACACTATTGGATCACATGTTAAAGTTAGACCTACATGAAAAGCGCGGCTCAATAGCTTTCGTCTGAATGCTCATACACTAGTATTTGATCCGAAGTTAATAGCTGGAACCATCTTGTACAACAAAATAATATCACATGAAAGTACTGATCATTTGTCTTCGTCAGAATGGCCTCACACTAGTATTCGATCCAAACCCACCCTGCACAATTTTAAAACATGATAAACAGTACCATATGAACGTATTGCTCAATTCAATAGCTTTCGATTTGAATGGTCACACACTAGGATTTCATTCACAGACTTAAACGTTAGAACCACCTTGTACAGCACAACTAACAGTACGACATGAAAGTAATAATGCTCAATAGCTTTCATTTGAATCACAAAAGGCCCGTTTATTCCGCAAATTTAAGAGTTAAAACCATCTTGTAAAGTATAATAAACAACTGTACCACATGAATATACTACTCAACAGCTTGCAAATGCTAGGCTTTCATTCAAAGATTAATTTTATACGTGAAACTTTGCAAAGTTAATGGGCGATTCCCCATATGAGACGTGTCTGGAGTGAATCATGGTCGTTGTATTCATGAAGACAATTATCCAGTCCAAGATGATGAATTCAAGATTCCATGCAGGCTTATCTCATGGAGGGAATTGGCCATTTTGTGTAAGCCCTTAGTCTTGAAGTAAGACCCCTCGAGTTACTTTGGCTGCTTAAAGTAATATAACAGCAGAGTTGAAGAACTCAAACAGAGTAGAAACGTTTTCATACAAAATGAAATGTCTTTTAGAATAGTATCAAAACTATCTAATTCATCGTTGGTTTTTGGTCTGATCTCTGATAAATGTAACGTATCAATTCCATGCAAACTGAGATATTCCCTGTAGAAGACGAAAAAAACTGTTACAGGTTTAATAACAAAAAGTGCAAGTTGTGGTATCTTGGCCGACGATAAGGAAGTTGAATGTGAAAGCCGATCATTCTTTTGTTTGAGTTCAAATTCGACCAAAACTTCCGCTTTTAAGTTCTGAAAATTCCAGTTGCGAATGGACCGAATGGCCAACAACATTTTCCCGAATTTTTGGAGAAGAGAAAAACCTCGGTCAACAGATACACTCCGAGGCTCCGTTTCTAAAGCTCTGTAATTTATGGTTGAATAGAAAACGATAGTTCGTGTATCTAGCCATAAGTGGTAAATATGATCAGTGCCATGAAAATACTATTTGTTGCATTTATTGTTCTTATTTACAAAGGTTTCGCATTTAATGAGGGACCAGTAGAGGTTTTGCGAGATGCGGAATGAGAGTAAAGATTAAGGCAGGATATCGAATGGCAATATTTTTTATGGAGGGATGCGGGATAAAAATATTTCGGTGGGAACGGCATTTGTTCATCTTGACAGACGGGATGCGAAGACGCGCGGGATGCGGGATGAAAAACGGAAAATCACACATTGTGGACGTCAAAGATATATATTCTGACTCGGGATTGAGCTGAAAATGGTGGCGGAATGCGGAATTGAAAAAGCCTATGTAGGACCCTCCTTACCGAAGCAGCCCAGATCTGCGATTCCAAGGTCGTCCACAGGAATACAATAATGTATGGCTTTGCAGATGTTACGCTGAAAAAAAGGGGAAAAAAATGTTCACCAAGTGCGCCAAATCTTTTCTGGTGATCTGCACGATCCAGCACGACATGCAGATCATTTGCGAACCGGCTTCACATGATCCGACGCCAGTCAACGACCCATTTGGCAAATCGCTCGTATTTTGCCCAAAGATACCCTTAGGTGGCCTTATTCTAAAAATCATATTTAAATGTTCCAGCGAATTTTTATTTTCTAGAAATTGGCAAAAATTTGAAAGCGAGGTCGAAGTACAGTTCTTCGTGTAATGAAATAACCGAAATAAGGTGCGAAAACGAAGTGTTTTTTAAGTCTTAAAATAAATTCAATTGACTTCAAACTTCACACAAATGTGGAACAACCATTCTAATTTATTTTTCGTTTTAAACTAATCTCAGATATGTTGATATAGTGGTTTTCCGAACCATTTTAAAAACACCTCTGAAGTGTGTTAAAAATAACGGCAAAATATAGGTCATGTTTAACAGCATAAAAATGCATCTGGTACCTCAATTTTCGATTATTTTACTTTACAGCCTTAAGAGATCATTATTAAACATATACCATGCCAAGTTTCATGCTCGAACTCGCAGAACTTCCCTTTGAGAAAAACGAAAACCTATGACAATGTGTTGGGCGCAAATAACAATATTTGTACACGAACAAGAGACAAACCAATTTCAAATAAAAGGCTATCATTAATTGAAATCCCGTCAATTCACTGCTGTCAGTAGAAACACAATGTTCACTATATAAAAACTGTTTTTAGACGTTTTCAAAACAGTGCGCTTTAACTTTGTTTAATTTCCTGTCCGCCGTCATGTCTAGTTTGTCATCGGGGGAACAACACCATCAATGGTTGTCATTATAAACGCAAGAGATTTCCTAGACTGCGAGCAGTCTCTCTTTTGCTCGGAACCTTAATTAATGTTCTCGATTCACCAAAACGCTTCGAGTTCGTTAAGGCACAATAAGGGTCAACTTGGAATGCTGTTTAGCATTAACTGGGGATGTTAAACGACTTTAAATTAATCAAGTTGAAATATGCTGAAGCAAATAATTCGGTAAGCAGCCGATCTTGGTTTAAGTTCAAGAAGTCGAGAGGTTAATCCGGCAATGTATTACCGGTACAACAACAAAATCAAACCGAGGTCATCATAACAAAATAATGAAAAGCCCCATAAAACAAAACTCCCGCGATGCACGACCCTGTACAACATCGTCGTCGTCGTCGTCGTCGCCGTCGTCGTCGTCGTCGTCATCACAATCGTCATCATTTATTGTAATTATCATTATGTCAAGAAACTTAGTATTCAACGAGAAGTACATATTAAATTTCGGTGAATTGCTTCAAATTGCTTCTTCTTGTCATCGAAATTCTTGGACATGCAAGGAAATATACTAACTCTTGTTACGCTAACATTCTGCAAAAGATTCATAATTTTCCGCCCAAGAGACATTTTGCTATCAGAAGTGGTTTTTAGTTCAATTATTAACTTTTCGGGGACAGATACTTAAGATCGATAGCAGGGAAATGCATTCTACGGCATAAAATCAAAAGTCGGGCCAGCATTTGGCCCTACATCCGGGTCTCCAGTGTCGTCAATAGGCGTGCGCACTAAGTTCCCCAAGTGTAGGTCAACAGAATACATTAACCCAAGAGCATCTTTCAATGTGTCAGGGTGGCCATTAAACACGTTCTCCAGTGATTTCAATAGTTTGGTGTAGATCATGTTAAACCTTTCTGCCTGCTTATGGGCCTTGGAGCCCTCTACGTATTTTGACATCCGGGGATTGGGAACCATCGGCCAAACTCCATCAGGATCGAAGGGAATCCGGGTACCATTGAAGTAGTATGTGCCATTGCACAGCTGAAGTGAAGACAGTGTGATGTTAATAAAGCTATGGAAAAACACTAATAAAAAAAAAATCCTGCCAAAATTTAAGCTGTTACGTGTGAGAAAAACAAATCTACAAAAGCAAAGCAAGCCAAATAAACGAACGAAAAAAACAAACAAACAAACAAACAAACAAATTTGAGCCTACGCTTAGGAAAATAAAAAGAAAGTCGGATTTTAAATACACGTTCATGCATTTTTTTCCATCGATTAAACTGAATAAAAAATATGAAGTTTGTTTGAGATGTGATTCATCTTAAGGAAAATACTTCAAAATTTTAAAGCTGCCTTAATTAGTGAGAGATTATTTCGTCCTGAGGCATAGTACGCTCATGATGTACATTTCCTTGGAGAAATAAAACAAAATACTTCGTTGACTATTGTGGCGAAAATGTGGTGAAATAGGAACAAACACAATCATTTCTTGAACATATACTTACTCATAAGAAGCATCATACCTTTGTGTAATCTACCACAGTTTTGTCACCACTGTCGTCTGGTGGCAGCACCGTCTCCACAACTTCAATTTCGTGCTTCTCAGCAACGGAGTAGAATAGGAAGTAATGGGACAAGTATTTTTTACTACCTGAATCCCAGGCAACGGGGTTACAAGGAGAGCTACCTTCACCTTGATCAATGATGTCCTGGATGGCTTCCACGGCTGTAAAGTAGTCATAAACCTTAATGGTATGTCCGTGTACAGACCATTCACTGAAGTCAACCTGTCGGCCCCTGTCTCCGGTGAATATACTGTTGTTTCTCCCGCAATCAGTGAGATAACCGAGGGCATTCAAAATGTGATTGTAAAATCCGCCTATTGTGTTGTGATGCTTGACAATTTTTATGTCGTCGCCTGGAAAATGACCGTGCTAAAATAGACACAAAAACAAGCAAACAGAAGTTTCTATGATTTTCTGATCAGAAAAAGAAATGTACTTCATTTTGATTCGCATGCTAAACTGCTAAACACGGCACCCCTTTATTTCCATATTTCCTAGTTTGCGTGTGTTATGCTCGACTTCTAACTTTTGTCTTTTTTT